AGCTGGAGCAGCTGCTCCTGGACGGGCCGTGGCGCAACGAGAGCGCCCTGAGCGTGGAGACGCTGCTCGACGTGCTCGTGTGCCTCTACACCGAGTGCAGCCAGTCGGCGCTGCGCCGCGACAAGTATGTGGCCGAGTTCCTCGAGTGGGGTGAGTGACCCTGCGGGCCCCCGGCGGCCCTCCCCGTCATCCTGTGCCGGGAGCCACATCCTCCGTCCCCTCTGCCCCCGCCGGGCCGTCGCCCTGGCCGCTTCCTAGACCCACCCTCGGAGTCTGGAGATCATTTCCTGCGGCGCTCCCCGGGACATCCGCCCCGCCCCCGCCTCGCCCCTCGCCCTTGGGGTCCCCAGGAGGCCTGAGCGCCTGTCCTCGCCCCCAGCCGCGTGTGTGCTTTGCGGCTCCGGCCACCCGGTGGGCCCCTCCCTGTGGGCATCCCCTGGGAACCCAGCCCCGACGACCCTCGGTGACAGCCTCTACACATCCCTTCGGTGTCCAGGCCCTGGTTACCCTCTGGCACCTCCAAGGGAATTTTGAGGTTACAAGCCTTGTTTTTGTGTGTGCCATGCAAGAGCAAATTGATAGTTTTTCTCTTCGTTGTAATTGTGCCACACCCTTGTTGCTATTTGGGCGGTAGCTGGTACTGTCACTTAACTATTTTTCGTCTGATCTTTCCGTGCCCCCACTAGTTCATTCAGGGATCTAGAGTGCTGTGATCGTCGATCAGCTGAGCTATTATGCTTCGTTAGGACAAAAATTTGATTAAACCCTGTAGTCATATTAGGATTCCCAAGACTTTCTCAGGACCCACACCTCTGACTGGTAGGAGGAAGCAAGGCTTAGGTTTAGGCCAAATCCTGTGAAGATCTTAGCTTTGAGTCCTGTGCATTATTGGGCTAGCATTGTGCAGTTTGAACTGGGAATTTCTACTCTTTGGGGCTAATCCAGTTGGTATTTACATGAGGAGGCAATTAAGTGCGTTCCATATTCGGGTCTACTACTTTGCTACACGGTAAATGGAGTTTGGAATTTTGTTCACACATTAAAACTTAAGCTGCAGTATCTAAAGGGCTTCTGTGTGTTGCGCTTCAGTGAGGCATTACTCCATGCTTGTGAGAGACATCTTGTGTGCTTTGTTTCATGGGGCACCATCCTTGGTCCCACCAGAGACCAAGGAACTGTAAAGGGACATAAATCGGGAGTACGGCCTTTCCGGGTCTTTTATCAATAATTTCCAAATGGATAATTAACTGACTTCACAGTTGCTTTGAAAGAGAGGTGTTTGGTGCATGTTATGATCTGAGCCTTCTTAGTATTGTATTTGTCTTTCCATTCTGAGCCCTGGATCCTGAAATCCAGAGTCCCTCAGTCAGATTCACCTGTGTGCACAGTAGGTGAGATATGTGTGCCAGAGAGAAGGAAGCAGAGGGAAGATCGGTTTAACTGATAAGGTGTGGTCCAGCTGGCCAGAAGGCTGGGCATTCTTAGCGCCAGGGTCCTGTAGGCTTCGGGCTTTCTGAAGGAAGCTGCTCTCAGCAGGTGAGGTCAGACCTCTCCACATGTAAATAGATGCTGTGTGCTGAAATATAGATATATTTTCAAAATCGGCTCTTTGAAACTGTGATTACAAATAAATTACATTCTCTTAAGAACTCAGTTTGCACCAAAGTGTAAATTTTACGGAGTAGAATGGGCTTAAATATACAGTGGCATTTGAACGCAGTAGTCACTTATTTTAGAGGTATGCTTCTTACTCTCACGTATGTTAATAAGTACACCATTGTAACACTAAAGTGGCATGTTAGTAGGGAAGATAAGTGTTCAGTGTTACTTGTAATCATCTAGTTATTTTGATGGGAAGCAAAGAATGGTCTAATACAACTTCATAGAGCATTATTATTTACCCTACTTTCCAAGTGGCACACCTGGAGATGTGTCTAGGCTGCAGCCTGTGGGTTGTTGAGTTTTTGGGTTCACCATGCTGTTTGAGACCTCTGATCTATTGCTTCCTGTTGTGTGGAGAGCCAGCCTCTACCTACCTTCTAAATCTTGCTAGATATCTAACGACAATTACGTAGAATTGAAATTTTGAGAAGAAAAACAGCTTGATTCAGGCCAAAATTTGAGATTTACTGGGAATTTTTGCGCAGTTTGGAAAATATAAGTAATACACTTTTTCAGTTTTAAGAGATTGTTATTTCTGGCTCTTATTTTTATATTACTACAAGTGGTTATATGGGATGAATCATGTCAGCTTTCATTTTTTTTTTTTTTAACTGGAAATTGAACTCAGGACCTTGCGCTTGCCAGGCAGGCGCTTATGCTGCTGAGCTGTATCCCCACCAATGTCAACCTTCATTGTAGGATTTTGTCTTTAATTTTCCTTTGGTTATGTTTATAGTTTAATTATTTTCCTCTCTGAAATTCTGGACCTTAATTAAAAGTTGGAAATACCCTGTTTTGGATGTGTATTTCTTTAAGCTATTTTTTAAAATATATATTTGATACCATTTGAAGCAGAGCATATAAACTACTTTAAAATTTCCATTAGCAAACAGAAATAAACATAAATAACTCAATGAGGTAAATGTAGTGTCTTTCGTCTTTGTTGTAGAAAAATGCTTTTTCCTGCGTTAAGAGCCTAAGTATGTGAGCTAGTGTCATATTTGACCTGCACTGACATTTGAAATCTCAGTGTGTCCTCACAGTGGTCCTCCACCCTGGCCCCTGGGTAGCCTGGCGGCATCTCCGAGTGGAGGCTTCCCAATTCCTGTTCTCCGACTTCATCTTTTGCCATGTGCCCCCACTTACTGAGTAGAACTAATATTCCTAGGCCTCTGGTTCCTTTCCTCCTTTGTGGTTTTTGTGATGGCGTTCTCCAGTAAATGTAACCTCCAGCAGCTGTCTGGGAGGGCGTGTGTGAGTGAGGAGGCCGGTGAGTTAGGCTTGCCTGATGGCGCTAACCATCTCTAAACATATTGGAAACTCACTGGTTTCTCGAAATAAAATGTGCAGCATGGGAACATTTTTTTTAAAAAAGATTTAAGGTTTAATAAGTCCCAGATTACAGGGAAATAAGGGACTGCGTGATAAAATTTAGGTTGACATAATTTAGGTATTGTAAATAGCTCTTTGAAACTCCCATCGATGCTGACTATGTGGTGTGAGACTGGACAGTTGAAGCCATTAAACCTTAACAAGCCTGTCTTGCCTTTTCTTCTCGCCTCAAACCTCTTCATGGACGTTGGGCTTTGAAGTGCACATCAGTGTCTACGTTCAGTCTTTAAGTAAATAAAAGTGGAATTGAAGACGCGTTGTTACCCTAGGGCACACTGTGTGGGCTGCCTGGACGAGCCAGTGCTGGGCAGGGGCAACTCAGATGCGAGTCCAGAACACATAGGACTGCGGGCTGGCAGGCAGCTCCTCTCTGGGCCACTCATGCCTGGCCTCTTGTCCCCAGTGTGCTGTCTGCTGACATCAGTGATGCAGGACCGGAAGGCCTGTGGGCAGGACTATTAATTTGAGACTGGCAAACACACCAAGATGATCTGTGGGGCTTCTTGGTAGGGAGTAGGTTCTGAGACTGATGAAGTGAGTGAGGGGCTCTTGCTGCATGAGACCAAGTACCACTTCTTTCTTTTTTTTTTAATCAAAAAGAGGATATATAAAATAAAAAGAAATTTTGAATGAATTAAAAATATCCTTAGGTTACATTGTAACCATGTAATCTTATCCCAAACTCCATAACAACATCTTAGGACCCTTTGAGGTTTTGTTCTTGGATTTCTAGGATGTGGAATAACAGGATTTTAAGGTTTTGTTAAGTTTCTGTGGGAACCTTGCACTCATGCCCTCTTACTGATGAAATTCAGGAAAAATGCATACTTTTCCTCAATCTAAAATCACAGGTTAGCCAAGTGTTGGGGTGGACACCCGTAATCTTAGCACTCAGGAGGCTGAGGCAAGAGGATGACTCAGTTCAAGGTCAGCCTGAACTACAACACCCTGTCTCAAAAACCCAAAAATAAAGAAATAAAATAAAATCACAAATGTTTTGACATTGTGAACTATATATGGTCATCTTCCCTTTCCCCTCATCTGTCAATGAGCTAAGTAAGTCCCCATCCCCCTACATACGTATATGGTAATCTTTAGGAACCTTTCATGTATTTAAAATCTAACAGAAAAGCATTTTGTGTGCAAATCAAATAGATACTTATGAGGTAAAGATCACTCTTCTCAGTTTGATTTTAAACAATCTGTGTTGAGGACTGGGGTTTTTGCTCAGTTTTATTGATTGGTAAGTAACTGGCAACAAAATTGCTTTTAGATTAATTTTCAAAAAGAGACATTTGAATTGAATCATGGTACCTCTTTGGAGAATACATAGAACTTCGAAAGCAGTGCCTAACATTATTGAGCTGATGCTTCCTTGACCTTCGGAAGACTTGAGGGTTTTGAGAAATCATGATGTGCTCCTGTCCTGCTCCTTGCTCTCCCTTGGTAAGCCAGGCTCTGAACATTTCAGGACCATTTCTGAGCAAGGAGCCCAGGTGTCTCTCCTCACCCAGCCTTGGCCTCAGGTCTCAGGCCAGCTTTGAAAGATCTCTGTTTATTTTTGCCTTTTCTCTCTGTTCCATCAGCAGTGGACTTCCTGAAGCACTCAGGTCTTAGACCTGAAATGTCTTTCCAACAGAAAGTTTAGGTGACCTCTGCCAGATCATTTTCATGGTTCCTCACCTCATCGCTCCACCTTTCAAAAGCTTCTGTCATGGCTTCATATTCTGGTGCCTTTTTAAAACTCAGGTGTGAAATCCACAGGCCAGTGTTCAAAATTAAAATTAGCTTAAAAGGATACATGTGATCTTAGTTTTAGACATTAAGGTTTAACAGCATGTCTGACCATACTCTGGGGTGATTTTCTTTAAATACAATTTTACCTTTACTAGCATATTTCCTTAGTTTGAAAAGCCAAGTAGTACTCCAGAGTGGTAGCACAAAGCAACAACCCGCTAGGCTTGGACTTCCCATTGACAGCCACTTTTTACTCCTCTGTTTCTGCAGTACCCACTGAATTAGAATCACATTCAGCTGTGGATAGTAGAGACGAGAATCAGGGCCTTACATAAAGTCAAGGTTGATTTCATTCTGGT